CGGGGAGGGGGAGCGGCGGCGGCGAACGGGCGGGGAGGGCGGAGGGGCCGGTTTATTTTTAAATTCTGCCTCCACTCGCTCTCTCGCGCTGTGGTTCCTCCGAGTTGTTTATTCCATTTTCCTCTTCCTGAGACGGCCGTCGCCGGTGCGCCTGCGCGTCGAGGCGCAGGGGCTTGTGGGTAGCGGGAGCGCGAGGGCAAGCCTGGCCTGGCGTCGGGCCCCCTGGGCATCCGCGAGCCGGCGGCGGTTGGACGGGTGGACCGCGGCGGCGCTCCCCGACGTCGAGCCGGCTCGGGAAGTTCTCACGAGACGAATGCCTTCCCTTTTTCGTATATCCTCTTATTTATAAAGCCAGGCGTCATTTTTTTAATTGAAACGACGAAATTTACAGAATGTGATTGTCATTTTGAGGGGCCGCACCTGGGGCCGGAGCCCAAGCCCTTGCTCGGCTGGGAGAGTAGCTCTAGTCTGTTACCCACGCTTCCGCACCCTCGCTTTTCCCCCTTCCTCCTCGTTTTCCTTCCCGCTGAGGGTGATGAGAACTACGGGACTGATTGCCTAAAAACTCCTGGGCCTTTTATTCCAAAAATCGAATCTGAGAAGGTTGATTTGGGCAAACCCCCAGCTGAGTGCAGCACCTGTTTTCTCTATTTATATTTACTGAAAGCCTTCAGTAAAATATTATGAACAATGAGATGCCACCTGGGGACACCGCTGCCTAGGCAGCACCAGAAGGTTTCCCTTAAAGTCGCTCTGGGTTTCTTTTCTCCAATCGGCCTAGTCTTGACTCGAAATTCATTTTTAAAAGATAGTTTTTTTTTCCCTCACCGATCGCTGATGTTATGCTTCGCTGTATTTATTTAAAAAAAAAAAAAGTTTTAAGGAATTTTAAGGAGTTGCTATGAAGGGAAAATAACTATAACGTTTTAGTTTTTCTTCTCTGCGAAAGGTTTTCTCAAAAGGCAATTGGAAGGGGGCTGTTTGTTGGCAGAATTTGAGGAATTGTGGCAAACAGAAGAGGTCACAGAAGAACTGATAGAAGCAAGTGTACCACACTGCAGAACGGGGGAAAGTGGATTCCATAGACCACAAACCGGTAAGCCTGGTGACGTTCCTTTGCTACATTCGAAGTAGTAATAACGTTGTGTTGTGTCTTTCTGTTTAAAAATATTTCCACATGTATATTTATTCGACAAATGTTTATTAATGCCCATCACGTGTGCCAGGAACTGAGCTCAGAGCTGGGGAAGCAGAAGTGAACAAAATGCAGTCTTGTCTGAGTTCAGATGGCTTGTTTATTCTCTCCTTGGGGAGACACATGGTACACAGGCCATCACAAATGAGTGTCTTAGGTGCTAACCTTGTCACACTAGCTATTAGAGGATATTAAAGATGTTGGCTTCCTGGAGAAAGCTGATAGCTTAATAGCAGGACTTGAGAACATCTGCTTTGAATTCAGACAGATCTGAGTTTGTAACCCAGTGGTGACACTTAAGAGCTGTGTTACTCTGGGTAAGCTGCTTCACTTCTCTGTGCCTTATCTGTAATCCAGGTAAGAATACTACCTACTTGGTAAAGTAGAAACTAATAATGCATATAAAGTATCGCATGCTTAGTAAGGATTCAGTAGGTTGTAGCTATCACTGTTAGTAGTAGTGCTGCTACTAGTAGTCAGCCGGTAAGAGTGCAGGAAAGAGCCTTCCAGGCAAAGCAGACAGCTTGTGCAAAAGGCCTTGAGGTGAAAAAGAGCTTAGGTTGTTAGAATGGTGACAGTGGAGGAACATATCACAAAATCCTTGAAAAGCATGTTAAAAGGATTAAACTTTTTCTTGAGGGCAATAGAAAGTTATCACAAGGTTTTAAAAAGTCAACTGATAACATGATCAGATGTCCCTTTTGATTCTCATAAGAACCCTATGAGGAAAGTAAAGAAGGTGGGTTATCACCATTTTATAGATGAACAAACTTAAGGCCTAGAGTTACACAGAGTTACCAGCTTATCCTTGCAAAGCCAGGACTTGAACTCAGGCCTACTAATCACAAAACATGTGCTCTTTCCATTAAGCATTTTACCATTTCTAAAATAAGCATATGTGTCTCTGGATGACTTGGAAAGGAAAGTGGTGTCTGTGGTGAGACAACAGATTCGTTAAGTTCACGCCAAATTAAGCATATCATTCCAGCAAACCTTTATTGAGAATCTACTGTGTATTATGTACCAAGCAAGTTCTGTGCTAGGCTCTGCTATGAGAAATGTGTAAGATACAGCCTTCGTCCTCAAGAGTTACCAGAATCATGAGAGAAATGCCAAAGATAAAGTAAATCATTCTTCAGTACCACATTTGACAAAGTTTTCTGTTAAATCCCTGTGAACAAGATGGAGAAACGTAGGCTGAGATCCTACTATAGTTAGGTGACTTTAGTACTCTTTGATTAGTCAGTCAAAATGTTGATAAAGCTGGCCTTGGAGCTCCTTGAACAATATCCAAAGAGTATTAATAAATTGACGCATGTCAGCATGGTCTTTACTGTCCTGCTTTGAACTCTGTCCTTAACCTATTTTTAATGAAAACAATGTTTTCTACTGCCTAGATGAAGAATAGCAGATCTGCAGTGTGTTGTTGCAAAACCAGTGGAGACAGGCAGTGTGATAAGGGACAGATTAGGATTTGTAAATCTCCATCAGTGGAAAAAATGGAGCAGTGCTAACAAAATGAAACCTAAAATGAATCGGGGCAACAGAGCCAACAGGCTCTTTAGTACAGCACTGATGGTACTGCCTCAGCCACCCCCGACCCTGCACCCTCAAAGCAAGTTAGCAGTGTTTCCTCAGGAGCCTTGAGAATGTGCATCACCTTTGAACTATTCTTGTTTTACTTGGCAAACAAATCCTAGAAGGTAGCCATAAATAACAAGTTTTATGCTACAATGTACTTGTTACAGTATGACTTATGAAAGCCAGAAAAGAAAAGTTGCAAACAACCTAAATTCTAAAACCAAAGGGAAAGGTTAAACAGTGCACTATTCACAGAGAATATTGTGCAGCCATTAAAAAGCCATGAACTGTGCAACAGTGCTTATGATGCAGTGTAAGTATTTAACATGATACGAAATTGTATGTACTGTTTTATTGTGATGATGTAAACAATAAAAAGCCTAATAGAAATAAAGATTAAAGTAACTGTCTCAAACATTAACAGTGGTTTTGCTAAGATGACAAAGTAGGTTCTTCCTATCTTTCCTCTACTTCCCAAATCTGTATCATGAACATATATTATTTCTATAATAGAAAATAAGCATTAAAACTTTATTGTAGGGGCTTCTCTGGTGGTGCAGTGGTTAAGAATCCGCCTGCCAATGCAGAGGACACGGGTTCAAGCCCTGGTCAGGAAAGATCCCACATGCTGCAGAGCAGCTAAGCCCATGCGCCACAACTACTGAGCCTGCGCTCTAGAGCCTGCATGCCACAACTACTGAGCCCACATGCCACAACTACTGAAGCCCACACGCCGAGAGCCCGTGCTCTGCAACAAGAGAAGCCGCCGCAATGAGAAGCCCGCAAACCACAATGAAGAGTAGCCCCTGCTCACCGCGCACAGCAACGAAGACCCAACACAGCTGTAAATAAATAAATAAACTTTATTGTAATTTAATCGTAACCTTTTCCTTCTATGGAGTGAGTACATGGTTGTTTGTTAAATTGTTCTCTGTATTTTTGGTTTCATTTTGTTTTCAATAAATTAATTTTGTGAAGACAAGCTGGACATTCGTTGTTGGCCGTTTCTTTAAATTTTCACTAGTCTGGTGTTTCTCAAAATATATTTCATGGAAGACTGGTTTAATAGCATGTTAATTGATATTACACAAAGGAAAAAGTTCTGTTATTGAGGAAGTTTGGGAAACTCAACTTGAAGTCTTTTTCAGAGCCTTTAATATGTTGATATGTTGTAATTATCGAAAAGCAGGATTTTTTTATGTTTTGGACTGGCAACCTGCCGTTTTTAAAATAGAACATTTATTGCTTAGATGGTTTGATACACAACAGCTTTTCTCGTTTTGAATTTGGAACTACTATACAACTGAATACAAGGAGGAACAAAAAGTACCAAAACCGAACTTGTGATTCTTTGTTAATGTGGCATAAACCAGTTTTGTACATAACATGTAGCAACAGTTTTTTTTGTTTTTTTGCTGTACACGGGCCTCTCACTGTTGTGGCCTCTCCCGTTGCGGATCACAGGGTCTGGACGCGCAGGCTCAGTGGCCATGGACCACGGGCCCAGCCACTCTGCGGCACGTGTGATCCTCCCAGACCAGGGCACGAACCCGCGTCCCCTGCATCGGCAGGTGGACTCTCAACCACTGCGCCACCAGGGAAGCCCTGTAGCAGAAGTTTTTAAATTCCCTTTAGGAAAATATGAATTCTATACATTTTTTATTGTTTCCTGTTTAATGCGTGGGCTGAAATCACTAGGATCAACTTCCTTCTGGAGGAAAGAGGAACAGAGGGTGGAAAGAACGGTGAAACTTTCTGAAACCGGCATCCGACTATCACGTAGCTTCCCCAGGGCTGGTTGAAAAATAGCCCTTTGGGTTTTTTTATTTTGTTTTCACAGCCGGGAGTTTCATGTAGTGATTGAATCTCAGCATCGTGTCCATAAATCAAAGAAACTTGCACCTCAAAAAACTTTTCAGAAGA